AGTTTCACATCTCTGAGTCATGTTCAAAGGAAGGAAGATTAACACATCCACTCTTTGGATTTTTGTTGTAGTCTTAGTAAGTCTCAGGGCATAAAGCCTTGCTTTTGCCTTCTCGGATCCTACATTTCATGCTGGTGCACCAGTAACATTGTCCAAGAGGAACAACTTCCCTGGAACAGCAGTTTCTTTTTCCTGTTGAGACACCCATCTTTGAATCAGAAACGGTACAGGCGGTATTTAACATCTCAGTATTAAAATATTCCTCCATTGTTCATTGCAGAGAAGAGGAGTATTAATACTTTTAAAATAGAGTAGTCACACACAAGAAATCTGAAAAGCGTCATGAAAGATATTGACTCAATTTCTCATTGCATGAGAAGTATTATGAGCAAACATTAACCATAAGTTGATGCCCACCTCTGTAACTGTACAAGTAACTAATGGAGCATTTTCCTCTCCTATTTACAAACTAAGATCTATGGATTTTTAAAGTAAGGATTTATTTTCTCCTAATACAGGCCATTGATTTTCAATGTTTCTCTTTCCCACCAGTGTCTCTAGCCTTGTGTCCGGGCTCCACATATGACTGAGTATAAAAATCTAACTAACCGATTAATGCACAACATTGTCAGCACATTTAAGATCACAAACAGGGGTAGTGAATGCAGAACAGCTCCCTATGGCTGCTTGTATCCCTGCAAAACACGAGTCCTCATTAACAGGAGACTTATCTACAGCATGTGATGGGAGCATCAGCTGGATAAATGCCCTAACGTAGGAGTTGAGCCTTCCCTGTGGTCACAGGAAATGAATGAATACTTTCACCTCCAATTAAGTTCATTTGAAGCACTGATCTCTCCCACCTGGGATGAGATGAAGATTATCAACTAACCTGCTTCTTATAAAGAGGAAATTTCTGTTCTCCCTCCCTTTCTCCCATCAGTACTTCATAAAAAAATGTAAATGTTCCTTTATTACCAAACTAGGAAATCTGTACACCATAAAGCATACAGATAAAGACCACAATATGTACATGTGTGCATGTGAACATATATGCATGAATAAAAATGCATGCACTTGCTGATATATCTGTATCTGGGTATATATTTATATCTCTGACATTTGCCATCTGTTGAGAGTGTAATATCGGGAATAAGCATCTGGCACTGTTTTGTATAGTAGCGCCTTTTGACAGCTGCTAAGGAATGCTGTACCTTTGGGGATTAAGGAGTAATTAATCAGAGCAAGGAAAACATACTGTAGAACATAAAATTTCTATATAGAAAGGAAGGTTTTCCAGGTACTCTTTGATTTGGTTTTTATCCGGCCTACAGCCTAAACCCAAATCTAATGTTTTCAGAGGGATCCATTCATCATGTTCAGGGAAATTTAAAGGTGAAACACGCAAGATGTTAATAATGTCCCTTGATAATTCCACATGCAGAATATTATTACACATCCAGAATTGCCCAAGTATTAAATTACAAACACTGAACACAGAGAGTTACTTGGAAAAGGTTCCAGAGAAATAGGCTGCAAGAGGTAGAAAGATGTGCTGCGTGCACCATATGGTGTACTGTGGGTTACCCAGGGGTTAATGGGTGCAAAGTATTGCAAACAGATGTGACATTCAAGCTGTTCAAAGACTAAAATATTTTCTTGGTTATCAGGTGGAATTATTCGTTTCCCTCCAGGTTAGAAAGTGCTTAAATTGTTGCTGTATTTATTGTACTCACTCAGAAATCTCCAAGGCCTCTTTTTGGTTATCTGTCTTTGCAACCCTTTGCTGGGTGAAGAGTGAGGAATGAAACAAACAGAGTCTTCTGGAATATTATTTTCTTCTGTTTCCAGAGCAGATCAACTCCGTGGTCTTGGATATAAACAGGTTTAGCAAAGGAAAATATACCACCTTTTTCATCTTGCATCATGCAGGGCACAGGTACCTCTCTCTCCTTTGTTATGCATTGCTTTACAAGTGTATTAATCCAAATTGTAACCAAGTACAGGGTGTAGCTTGAAGACATATAGAAGGGGTTATCTTCCTCTACGAAAGTTTGCTATTCTCTAGAGCTGCCAAACTCAGAGAGGACGTTTGAAACCTGAAATCACAGAATATGCTGAGTTGGAGGGGAACCATAAGGATTATAGAGTCCAACCCTTAGCCCTGCACAGGACATAATTTCTATTCATGAAATCTTTTAGGATATAAATGTAAGGAAACAGTATGGGCTGCTTCCTACTCATAAATACACACCCCCCCTTTATTTTCATTTCATAAACCATTTGGTTCCTAGTAGACATCAAATGAAATCCCTATAATCACTACTTTCAGAAATTTCCATTTCATCATCTTGTTTAATATTCTCTGGGATGATATTTTGGGAATTTGGCTTGGGTTTTTTATCAGAACTGTGTGTAGAATTTCACAGTGGTATAATATCATGTTCTTTCAAGTCAGTGGCATATATTTTTAGGAAAAAAGCTAGTTTCACAATTAGGAAATAGGTCAAAAAACTAACTTACAGGGGTTACATATGCATATGCAAATGTCTTTAATTACTCCCATGGGCTTTACTTTAAATTCTCTAATACCTTTAATTTCCCACACTTCTCTTTTCAGAAGCCTCTTGTTGATCTCTGTTGTTTTCCTTACTATCTGCTCTACCTGACGCTTGCCCTTAAAGCACAGTTGGTGCAGCCGCACATCACACTACCACATATTAACCTGTGAGACACTGTATAAATTTCTTGGTGTAGGTTTCTGAGATAAGAGGACTAGGCCATTGGAGCCAGCTCAGCTTCTCAATGATGTGTGAAAATATTTATTACATCCAGATAAGTGAGTATCTATATATCATTTCACCAGCCACTGATGTGCAGTTCGCTTAGAAGTGAAACAAGAAAGAATCCCTACCATGCACCAGCACTACAGAAGAATAATCAGACAGGGCTGGCCACTTGCTGACTTGTCTGGGGCTCCCTCCTTCACCTATAGGTCCCTGAGTCCTGTTGTTCCCAAATGATGTGAGCAGCAAAGGTAATTGCTGGGTGCCTGTTTCATTTTGCTCCGTATTTGCAAATCAGCTAAATGTGAATTGAGCCTCATTCATGAAAGACAAGTGAATTACAATTGTGATTAACAGTAATAAATGCAGCTATTAGAATGTGGAATTTATTACCTTGGTTTTTTTGGCAACTATCCCTTATTTTAAAACTGCATCTGTTGGCTTACTTCCTTTAATCTTGTATGAGAAAGTGAAAAAGAAGTATTCCTCTCTGAGAAAGAAAGCAGTATAGGATACACTTTGAAAATTCACAGTTTCATATGCTAGTAATATTGAAGATGATCTTAATGGCTAAATTAAAAACAACCTAGATGTCATGTTCAGAGTGAAGCAGCAACATAATAAAAGGGCCAACCGCACCGCAGTAGAACAAGGAAAAGAAAATAACTAATAACATGAACGTCTGTAAGAGTTTTTAGTGCAACATAAACGTATATGTTATTAATGGTTAATATGAAGGTGCCATCTGGACAGTTGGATTATGTAGATTCTGGCACTAGAGGTGTCATTCATCATGGAAAAAATGAGAAAACCAGACAGTTTGAAAAATGTTTCAAACAAAGTTTGACTGGATATCTTTTGAATCTATTAATGTATGGATGAGCAATAATCTGAGCAAAAACCTGCAGAAAGCCAGGATCTAAGTCAAAAAAGGCTACCTCTTATCTCTGCAGATTTTGGAACAGGGTTTAAAATACATCAGTAATATAGATCTGCATAAATGTAACAACAGAAAAGGAGGTGAAATGCTCCTTACGAGATCTTTTCTCATGTATTCCAAAAAGGTATAAATTTCTTTAACTATTTTATACTTAAAGCCCTGAAGTCAAAGACAGTTTGTGAAAAAGAGAAAGCAAACATCTAAATTTTCAAGATAATTTAAAAAACAATTACTTCTCCTTACTTAGGTTTCAAAGCAGACCACAGAACAACAAATAAATGAAAAGCAGGTACTTTTTTCCCCAGGTATGTTTTTTACTGTACATTTTGTAGCAAAAAAAAAAAAAGAAAGGAAAAAATATTCTGATCACAGGGATGTCATTATTTAAAACTCCAAGTAGGAAACATGACGAATACAAGATCAAGTACACAGCCATGTCACAATATATCTCTGAACCTTTAAAAAAAATATACATAAAGTTTTTTTCATGTGTTATTTTCTCTGTACCTTGCACCCTTTCTTCATATCTTTTACAAAATCGATGTAAATAATAGTAACAATGTGTAATTTCAGAATGGTTCCCGACAGCTGATCATTGAGAGCCAACGAATTAATAAACAAATGATAGGACAGTTGCAGTAGCCACCAGAATGCTAGAAATCACAGTAAAATTGTTAAGGACAATCAGTTCAGCTGGATTGGCCATGTGTATTTCTACAGCCACAGCAACACTTACCAAAAACTAATCTGAGAATCAGTTTGCAAGTCCTAAACAGCTCCTGTTATTAGGTAGCAAGTATCTTCCTGAGGATGAGACAGGGAAGCAGGAGTACACCAGGGACTGGGGAAGGGCTGTATGTAATGCAGGGGGCACATGGGAGACCCTCTGCTCTGAGATACCCAAATTGAACTCAGTTGCTGTGGCTAACTTGGAACATACCCAATCCCCTGAAATACACAAAAACTTAATTTTCTTGTGGCGCTACTGGTACAGTCAAGCTGTGTCATGGTGATTGTACGGACAAGGAGCTTTTGTCACAATAGGGTCAGTGTTTTCTTTGGCAGTTAGAGTGGCAGTGTGACCTTCACTAGAAGCCATTAATATTCATAATGTAGAGCTACTTTGGTTTTCCCTTGCTTTATCCTTTAATAGGAAATCTTGATAACTATTTTTCCCATCTTTGATAGCAACACCCTTACAGATACCAATAGCTGCTGCAATCTGCCTTGAGCATTGATAAGCAGAGACTATGAAGATAGAAGGAAGAGGATGATTTCTTTTTTTGTAATTTATTTGCCCCTAGATTTAATTTTTTCTAGGACAGAAAGGGATGGTATTGGGGGTGGATTATGCAGTACATCAGAAATTTGACCTTTGTACGTACCTCCTTTTAATCTGGGGGATTTGATGAGACTAAAAACAAAACCAAAAAATGCATGGAAACATACTTTCTGTTGTGGGGAAAAAGCAACTCAAACCATAAAAAATCAAAACAGAACAGAAGTAAATAAATCCCAACCAAAAGCCGACTCAACAACAAATATTGTTTGCCCAGATGTCACAGTTAACACCATGAGATTATGCTGAACAATTTGCTCTTATCTGTCCCTGTGGGTGCCATGCCTGCACTTTTGAGAAAATCATTTGCAATAACAACCAGATATATCCTAGCACCAGTCATATCCACAGAAGTGTATTTCTGTGTTTGAAAGAAAAGAAAGAGGTGCCCTTTAAAAAAAAAAAAAAAAAAAGAAAAAAAGAAAAGAAACCCTGTAAAATTAAATTTCTCCTGTTAAACCCCTTTTCATCCTCCTTGTTTAATCTTGTGTGATGGTTCACCAACAGTCTAAGTAACTTTTGGAAAGTAATGCTAAATACAACTAGCAAATTCCTTGAAACATTCACGCATGGTTTAGTTGGGGCCAGACAGGAATGGTGCCATACGTGCCTATTCACATTTCATGACCTTCTTGCTCTTTTAGTATCCCTGTTACTTACTTGCTTGTCTATCTTTTTGGCCAGTACAATTGAAAACATTTCCTCCCCTCTCTTTCCAATTGCATGGCCCTGAAGCAAACCATGCTTTATAACCTATGAAGGGAGAAGAGGAGGGGGGAGACACTGATATTTACACCGTGCTTTCCATTACCCACTCTGAGCTCCCGAAAGTCCCTTTTGCCCCTGTTAGGTCATTGTCATCATACTGCAAAAGCATGCCGTTGACTGAGAGGCTCCTCTTTGTCCAAATGTTTGTTATCTTTTTTGGGTAGGTGCAACACTGAGATGTAGCAAAGTCCCCCATGTCAAAAGAATGGCTACGTTTGGTTTTGCCCTCTAGAGGCAACATGAGGAAGCTGCGTAATTTTGACTCCGTCTGGCCCAGCAGGGGCTCTTTGTCCGAGTGGCGGGCCACCGTGGAAGTTCTGGAGTCTGTCATTTCCTCCTTTTTCTGACATTTCAGTTCCAGGGAGGCAAAAGCTCCCATTAGCCGGTCAATATTGTGTTTTGACCTGGAAGGAGGCCTCCATTTACTGGACAATGTGCCCTGTTCACTTTGGAGGCTATAGTTGTCGCAGTCACGACTATTTGCAGAGCTGGAGGAAGAGGAGATGCTACTCCGTGCAGACTGACAGTTAAACTCCATAAGTTCATTCCTCACCACCACTTTGGGATTGACTTGGGGCAGGACTCCATTCTGAACTGGTTGTGCTCCATTTGTCTGTGAGTAGACATTGCTGACATTAGACATCTTCCCTTGAGAATTGTTGCAGACCTTATAGCGGACCATGAGTATTACAATGAACACCAACAGAGTTGCCACAATGATGCCTCCAATGATCAGAATCATGGTCCCACCCAGGAACTGACTGTGCATTGACTGGCACTGAGGGTAGTCTTCTTTGGTGAAGAATTGGGCGCATCCCACAATATTGGTGGCAGTAAGGGTCGTGGCTGTGTCATCCCACATTGCCAGGACACAGAGGTCATAGCCTGTTCCAGAAACAAGGTTGGTTACAACAAAGGCCTTGTTTGTAGCTGGTATCATCCTTAAAAAAAAAAAAGAAAGAAAAAAGAATTGGTTACTCTTGACACAAAGGTGAAAGAGAGAACAGATATAAGAAGGATGTTGTGTTTACTGTTCTGGGTACTGGCAAAGAGAAGTCAGAGCCATAAAATTCAAACAAGCATTCAAGCTTCCCAGCTCCTGTGGGTTCAACATCCCAGCATTCAGTAACACGCAAGTTTTGAGGGCCAGCTCTCAAATGTGCAATAAAGGGAGTAATAAAAATCAGACCAAACTAGTCTGTTTTGTTTTTTTTCTCTCTCCTCACTTGCATCTGTCCTATTCTGAAATATATTCAAACCTGAAGAGATAACTCAGAATAAAAATATGTGCTTACAAAGAGCAGTTCTTTCTGAGTGTGCAAATGACCCTTGTACTTGCTGAGTTTCAACCTGGCAGTTGTCACATTGCTTCATGGGTGCCTAAACATTTACTGTCTAACATCAGCGGGTTACTTACCTTGTGAAGACGTTTAGTTTTCTCATTGACTGAGAAGGCAAGGCAGGCAACCACTTCTCTCTCTTTCTCCACTCTCCCACCTACTTTCCCGATCCTCCTACTCTCCACTGTGGAAAATATCTCCTAAAAATGCAGCTATCATCATCTTTGCCAGAAATTTCTTCCAGCAAACACCTTCCCCTCTGTGAGTGAAAAAGAAATACTGGCATTGGCAATATGGGCTGTGGAAGTGTGAGGAGAGGCAGGAAGAGACAGAGATGGAAAGAAGAAGGTTTCTTTAAAATAAAGAATTCTATTCAAGTAGGAATCCATTTCCAAAAACCAAATAGCTAGGCCTGCTTCCAAAAACCAAATAGCTAGGTCTAAGCTGTGCTCCAAGTTGGGACATTTATGGACATTATTCTTTGTTGCCACAAAACTTAAGCAGTCATTTGAACTCATGCAGTATTAGAGCATCACTAGCATTCAAAATTAGCAGATGGGAATGAATATGGTTTACCTCCACTTCAAACTGATGAAAATTGCAACACATTAGTGGAACACAGTGGAGAATCCAAGATTTGGTGCCTAGTGGTTAGCCAAGAATAAAACCAAAGAGATACCCCATGCATGTTTCTCATTACTGTTACATTACATTACAGGCTTGGGTGAGAGAAAAAAGCTGAAATTAAAGACAGCCCATTATGACATAGATCTGCAGGTCTTTTGCACCGGCAACAAGGGAGCCCTACAGGCACTTACAACACACAGTGAGCTGATGTGACTGTGTTTGGGACGGTAAGGCCCACGCAGAGGAACAAGGCATATTCCTTGTCGGAGTGCCAGGCTTCCTTAGTCTCAAATCATCACCACAGCTAGCACAAACTGCAGCTCTGCAGAGGACCTTCCGTACAGTGGGAGGGAAGAGATCTGCACTGAGAAGCAGCAACGTCAAGGCACTGCAAAGATGAGCCTCTGATCATCTTTGCATTTATGCATTCACGCCACTTACACAACCCTTCAGTCTGGCCACAGGCGAGGATGTGGCTCCTTTTTAAAAAAAACACACACACACACAAAAAACTGTAAGGAAGAGAAATATTTGTGAGAGACACTTGAGAAATAACGTTGAGAAACATCATCTGGCAGGTTTACTCAATGTTGTATTTTGAGATTCTAGACACATTTATCATCCTAATGGAGCTGTTTGACATAGATATGAGTTATTCAGAATGAGTCCAGAGGTCATAAAGCAGCCCTCATGAAAAACTCCAGATACTGCTGCTAAAATGTTTTCCAAAAGTTGAAATATGTGATCTCAAGTTATTTCTAATTGTTCTTTCCTCCCTGTGGCTCTGAACAAAACACCACTGCCCACAGCAGACTGCACTCTGTTGAATTGTTCAAGGAATTGCATGTGCACACACCAAGGATGATATATGGAATAACAGAATACTATTGTTCTTCAAACATCTGATTTTAAACTCTTGAACAGTTTCACTAATTGCTTCCTATGTCCTTCTGTAGTGCTATACTCCATTTTTCACCATCAATCTCAGCTACATGCTTAAAAAAATCTGCAGTGTGTTAAGTCGTTCAGAAATTATTTCATTGCAAAACCTCATTACAAACAAGTAGCACTGTTAGCAGAAAGAGTAGTCAGCCCTATAAACTTGGTCTTGGACTTGGGTCATAACTCTTGGAAAAAGAGAACTATAACACTATCTGTTAGAGTGGTTCCTTTTGCTTTGCAATGATTAAATGTGGAGAGACGAGAGACCATTCTCTCCAAGCAAACAGCAAACAACTGAGTTTACATACTTATAACTTTGCACATGTACGATCATCTTTGCATTTATGCATTCACATCCCTTACTCAACCCTTCAGTCTGGCCACAGGTGAGTATGTATTTCTCCTGTTTAAAAACCAAACATACAAAAATAGAAATACAGTCTTTCAGCCTCACCCACTAATGCCCGATTCATATAGAGTGAACACTGATAGCCTAAATCATTTACAACTTGTTTTTTTTCAAACACAATTACACACCAGCTTCCAAGGAAATGTAACTGCCTGAAATATTTCAAGGACTGGCAGGTAGTGATAGTGGCAAAAAATGTAAAGCCAATCCATTTTTAAATGTACAGCAGTGAGACCATAACTAGTTCTAAAGCTTGGCTAGGTTAACTGTGTTGAAACTTCTATAAAAGTTTGTCTTAGCCTTTAAAAGAAACTGAGTCATTTCTAAATTCAATCAGTGCTGGCAGCTACAGCTGTGGTAATATTTGGACTAATAATAGCTTTATAAAAATCACAGTTGCAATCTCAATTAAAGAAAAAGCAATCAACTCTCCATATACATTCAAAATAAAGAATTTTGGATGTTTCCGTAAGCAAATTTTAAATGTTCTTGTAAAATATTTAAGTTAATGTAGCTGTTAAAGAACAGCTGAACATAGGAGTAAGCAACAATTTCAATAGTACTAGGAGTTAAGTAATTACTTTTAGACTTAGTTTTCTATCTTACAGAGAAGACAATCTTGTTTTCATGAACTTGCCAAATTTTAAGAGTATTTTGGCATTCCTCTGTGCTTTCATCTACCCTCCTCAAACATACTGCCAGTGAGCTGTGATGGATGACATCTCTTAACATTCCCCACACCTAAAATCAATGGGGAGTCTTTTTCGTTCTGGGATATTGATGACTCTTTCTTTGATTGTCCCCAACACAGGTATTTGCAAGGTGCCACTTCAATCTTTGCTTTGTAGCCTAACAGGGTGCGTCTCTTCATGGCTGTTTAGTACATGTAGTGCCATTAATCATGCACCACCCTACCCTGCCACTGGGACTCAGTAGCTAGGAGCTGCCATAAAACTAAAAGGGGTCATTAAAACTGGATCTAGGCAGAGATCTTGCAAGGCTTTGTTCAGTCCAGCTAAACACAGAAAGCTGTTTTCAGATAGCAAGGATGTGGTTCATGGGAGATCAAAAAGAGCTTTTGAAAGTTGTTAGCTTTAGGAACTCTGAAGATTCTGATGTTCACAGATAGTAAACATACTTAAAAGTTGCAGTATCTTGAAGCAACAAGTCTGATACTGTCCACTTGCTGTTCAGGGCAGTGTGATCTTGCCTAGATGCTTCTTATCACAAAAGAGGAATAGAGATCTAAATCTGGTACTAGACTTTCTTTAGGGAAAAAAAACCAACCAAAACAAACAGTTGACTAACTGCAAGAGAAGATCAACTAGCAAAAGACTTGCATATAGGTTATGAAAGTTTTTAATGCATACAGTTTAAGGAATCTGGGGGCTGGGAAAACAAATACAGAAATATGTCAACAGTGAAAATGTAAATGTAAAATTTGAAAATCTTATGGAAATATCACTGTCCAGACACATAAGACACAGTAATTTCTGTCTTTCTCCTCTGATTTATTCTCCTTGGAGTAGGAGGAGCAGGCAAATCTCCACACTGGTGCCAGGATTTTTTAATCTGATTCTTAATCTAGTTCTTGAATCCTATCTGAAGGTCAAAATACCCCAAGGAAAAACTATTCATATAAGAACACAGTTCTGACCTCTCTGGAAAACCTTGCCTCTAAGGAATGAAATGAGCATAGAGATCTTACAACTGACCTTCTTAATTGACAAAAAGAGTTCTCTTCTCTCACCCTTTGGTACAATAGCATCACTTATTGGAAGAGAAGGAGACCTATGCCCAGGATGGGCATAGCATAACCATCTGAAATAGAACAGCAATAGACAGATGCTCCCAGGAGAGTGTGATGAAGAGCTATGAAGAAGAGCTATGAAGAGCTATGAAGTTGAGATGAAAGTTTGCAGGGCTTTTTCAAACAATACATTCTGTTCAATCCATGAAGATTTATGTCTCATTTTGTGAAAGTGCCCAAATGAGACCCTTTTAAAAAAAGGGAAAGACAGTGCTAGAACTCTTCTTTGAAATCAACCTTATTTTGTACCACCATCACCGCTAAAACATCCTTGTTATGTCCTTGTGGACACAACATACAGAAATCAAGCAATTTTCTAATTATTCACTTCAGTGTGTGGTGATATTAAGAAAATTAGAAAATAAATTACCTAGAAATATAGGGGAAAAAGGTTTGCTGCAGACTTCACTCATAATCCCAGATGCAAGTGAGCACTGAAGCTTGCAGCGAGTGAACTGTGCTGAGAATTTAAGATAACTGAGTTTTATTCTTTATTTTATCAGTTACACTGATATCAGGCTCCACTTTATCAGTAACTCTCAGTTCCTGAGAATTCATTTTGCTGTACTGTAAGTCTCCTCATTTATAAAATAGGGATAATGCCAGCAATCTCCTTTCAAAAGAGGCCTGTAGTGTATTGAAGGAAATTAGTAGATACGGCGATTGCACCGTAATATACAAACGAGTTCTTTTCTTCTGTGTAGCACGGGGGTTTAGCAGAAGTGAACTGTTGGTTAATACTGTGGTTATGCAAAACTGAAAAATTAGACAAAATCCAGATTAGGCTAATTGGCTAGGCAATTCTGTTCCTTT